GCACCGTCGTAAGACTGGCCGACTAAATTTTTCTTCCAGTTCAAACCACATTTTTCCATTACACATTTAAACATGTCAAAAAGCACTTTACCAGTAGTTAAAGGCGATTCAGTTATTAYAATAATTCTTTCATGTATTTTAGATTTGAAAATGTATCTTGCAATAAATGAAAGCTGCTYCTTGTGTGAAACATCAAATGTCGTGTCCATACATATACTAAAATATCCAGCCTTCACAATCTGTGTTCTGATAACTGACGAAATATATTGAGCAATGGAGTCTATTAGAGAATTCTGTCGATTCCAAGAAATAAAAGAATTTTCTTTCTTTCCTTTGGCCATTAACTGATTGATATGAACAGATAGAGTAGGCGAATGTTGTGAAATTAGAACAACCATATCTTTAAAATTTCCTTTCAAGTCACTTTCCCAATTTTCTTTATGCCCTCTAAATGGGAGATCATGTCTTGCCAAAAAAATTGTTATTTCAATCAATTGTTTAACTAGTTCTCTATTGAATGCCACTTGCCGGTTATGGTCTTCAAGTATTGATGGTAGAATTGGTAGACAACTTTGTTTTAATTTAACTTTTAATGATGCAAATATATGAGTAGAAAAAGTTTCATGTTTAGTAATTGATAATGATCCATTTTTCCAATGACAAAAACCTTCTTTTTCCATGCAGTATTGGTATTTTTACCATATAATATGTAATAAAGGCAAAATATCTTATTTAATTTAGGAGAATAACTAAGCCATTCCCGTTTTACATATGTATTATCAATTAACTTTCTGTTGTACCAAGCTGAATGAAAACTTCTATTTAGATGGTCTTTTTTATAACTCACCAAGCTTAAATCTTGTTCTTAGGGCTGACAAGCTCCCAAACTTAGAATCATATTTCTTAACTCTGGAATCCATTGTTCAACATTAACAAAATTAACAGGATCATTTCTAAAAATTATATTTGAACCATCCAATAGATCTCCACTTGCAGTTTCTTCAAATAATTCAAGTGAAACATTTTTGACTATGGATTGCTAAAATGATAATATATATATATATATATATTATAATAATTTATAATTAATTATACCTAC